GATATGTTAGACCACAAAACAAGCCAATAAATTTAGGTGGACTGAAATCATATCAAACATCTTATATGATCACAATAGTATGAAACTAGAAATTACACAAAGAAACATAAAAATTCAATGTGTGATTAGACAACACGTTACTGAATAACTAACAGATCAAAGGAGAGATAAAAAATGGAAAAAAAAGGTCTTGAGACAAATGAAAATGGACATATAACACACCAAAGTTTGCTGGATATATCAAAAGTAGTTGTAAGAGAGAAGTTCATAGTGATCAATGCCTACCTCAAGAAATAAGTCTCACAAGCAACCTAACTTAACACCTCAAGGAACTAAAACACACACAAAAACACACAGACAGGTAGACACACACAAACACACACACATACACACTCAATGAAGCCCAAATTTAGCAGAAGGAAGAAAATAAAGATAGAGATGAAATAGATATTTAGAAGCCTTAGAGTATATCAATGAAAAAAAGAGCTGGCTCTTTGAAAAGATAAACAAAACTGAAAAGCCTTTAGTTAAATTCACCTAGAAAAAATTTTCAAATAAAATCAGAAATGAAATACATGTCACAATTGACACCACAGAAACAGAAAGGATCTTAAGAGACTGCTATGAACAACTATATGCCAAGAAATTAGACAACCTAGAAGAAATTAATTCCTAAAAAAGAGAACTGAATAATGGTGAAATAGAAAACATGAACACACCAATTACTGGTAAGGAAATTTAATCAGTAATCAAAAATTTCTCAACAGACTAAAGCTCAAGATCAGATGGCTTCACCAGTAAATTGTACCTAACATTCAAAAAAGAATTAATACCAATCCTTCTCAAACTCTTTCAATAAATAGAAGATGAACAAATTCTTCCAAACTCATTTAAGAGTCCAGTATTACCCTGAAACCCAAACCAGACAAGGATCCTACAAGAAACAACAACAACAAGAAAACTGCAGGCCAATATCCCTGATAAACATAGATGCAAAAATCCTCAATAAATATTAGCAAACTGATTCATCAAAGGATCATACACCATAATCAAGGGGGATTTATTGGGATGTAAGCATGCTTTAAGAACCTCAAATCTGCCAATGTGATGATGGCACCATAATAGCCAAGTGAACGATAAAAATATTATGATCATTTCAATACACGCAGAAAAAGTAATGTGACAAAATCCAACATCCATTTATGAGAACTCTCAACAAAGCAGACTTAGAAGGAACATACCTCAACATAATAAAGGCCATATAGCACAATTCCATAGTTAAAATCAGAGTCAACAGTGATAAACAGAAAGTCCTTCCTCGAAGATCACAAACAAGACATAATTCTTGCCCTATTATATTCAACAAAGTACTAGAAGTCCCTCCAGAGCAATTGGACAAGAAACAGAAATAAAAAGCATCCAAATTGGGAAGGAAAAAGTAAAACTGTCACTATTTGTAGACGACATGTTATATACAGAAAACACTAAAGACTCCATCAAAATCTGGCAGAAGAAATTAACAAACTGAGTAAAGTCACAGGATACAAAAATCAATACACAAAAATCTACTGAGTGTCTATACACTAATAACAAACTACCAGAGAAATAAAGAAAACAATCACATTTACAATTGCATCAAAAGGAACAAAATACCTAGGAATAAATTCGACCAAGGAGGTGAAAGACCTGTATGCTGAAAACTGTAAGACATTATTCAATTTATTCAGTGAAATGAACTGAAAAAGGCACAAATAAAGGGAAAGACATTCCATGCTCATGGATTAGAAGGAATATTATTAATATGTGCTTAATTAGTATGTCCTACTACCCAAAGCAATTTACAGATTCAATGTAATCCTCATCAAAATTCCAAAGGCCTTTTTCAAAGACATACAACAATCCTAAAATTTGTATGGAGCCACCAGGCCCTCAAACAGCCAAAGCAATCTAGCGAATAAAGACCAAAGCTGGAGGAATCACACTCCCAGATTTTGCACAATATTACAAAGCCATTGTAATCGCATGCATCAAGAGAACATAATAGCTCATAAATGAACTCATGCATCTATAATCAATGAATTTATGAGAAAGAACCCAAGAATATCTAATGGGGAAAGGACAGTATCTTCAAAAAATGATGTTGAGAAAACTGCAAACACATGCAAAACAAAGGAAGTGCACCACTAATTTACACACTATATCCACAATAATCAACTCAAAACAGATGAAAGACTTGAATGTAAGACCTGAAACTATAAAACTCCTAGAAAAAAACACAGACTACAGTAAGTTCCTTGACACTGATGCTACGATTTTTAAACTGGGCACCAAAAGCAAAATCAAAAAAAGCAAAAATACATAAGTAGGAGTACATCATACTAAAAAGCTTCTGTAGGGCAAAGGAAAGCATCCACAAAACGAAAAGGCAACGGGGGGGGGGGGGGGGGAAGGAGGGGGGGGGGG